AGATACCTGTATCTGAGAACCCACTAAGAGGAGGAAACCATTTCATAGTCAAGTTGAACACGGAGAAGTAAAAAATAACCCACCAAAAAAAAAAGTTAGTTTATTTTCCCCACCTTCCTTGTCGCTGCCCAGTGAACCCCTTTTTTCCGTCATGTCCTTCCTGAGTCAAGGTCTTACTGAAAATACAGAGGTCACAGACCCTGCTTGCAGCCCCTTACCTTAGACCCCTCAATTTCCCACTCCTTTCCGGAATGTTCCCTCCACTTTTCCTCTCCGTCTCGGCATCTGTCATAATTCACGAATATACATTTATAATCATTCCTGTATGGTCCATCTTCCCCACTAGACTGGAAGCTTCATGAAGGAAAATACTGTTTTCTTCATCATGGTATCTTAAGAGCTGTGGGACACGACTTGGCCCCAAAAAGAGGATCAATCAAAATGCCCCTGCTAAAGAGCAGATGGAGAGATTCATGAAATCACCCCCCACACTTGCTCACTTGCTCACCTTTTGTTGTTAAAGAACCTTATCTGCCTGACTGGCTCTAACCTGTCTGAATGGTGGGGGCAGGGTTGAAGGTGATGACAAAGGCCCCGCCCACCCCCCCAGGTCAGATACAGACGGGAGTTTGTGTGTCTCTCTGGGAGGGGTAATGTGGAGAGAGGCATGTAAACAAAATAGCTTAACTTCCACCCCCCGGACCAGCATACAGACCCGGCTGAAAATGAACTACTAACTCTCCAGTGTGGAGAGCAGGACTGATAAAATGGCATTGGTCTGGTCAAGGTATCATAAAGTATGCAAAACAAAGTGGAATCGCTCATGTCAACCAAAACGGCTGTCAGTCAGCCATGACACTTTAGTTCAAGAGGGATACTACCCAAGTCCGAGCAGACTCATCTGGCAAGGAGACACACCTAATAACTGCACAAGTGATCAGAACAGCCACGTCTGCAGAGCAAGACCACCCATAGGTAGGCTCCGGGGCAAGTTCCCCACTTGGCATCAGGAGTGCCAAGATATTTATCGAAAAGACCCAGAAGGGTGGAGTACACCACTTTCAAGGTATAACTGAGGCAGGCTCCAGACCACTGCTGAGACAGCTGAGCTCCACACACCAGAGTGCTGCCCCCTGCCATGCTGATCTCCCTTGGCATCGGCTGCCAAAGGCTCTGCCCTGCTGGACTGAGGACTTCATCTGCCCTGGCTTTGGAGATCCTTCATCTGCCCACCTGGCTTTGGAGATCCTTCATCTGCCCACCTGGCTTTGGAGATCCTTCCTTGCAAGATGCTGACAATTCCCTTGCCCCCTGTGCTGTCTTTGGGACCTGCAGACTGAGACTCTGGGACTCGGATTCATTACCCCGCATTCACTGCTGTGTGTGTGTTATATTTCTCTTAGACTGTTAGAGTGTGAGTAGGATATTAACATATGTTGATGCTCTCCTTTGAGTGAACCTGCATCCAATAAAAGCTAAATAAACAGAATCATTCCTGTGTGGGACTCTTGTCTATGCCTTGGTGCCAGGCTGCTCAGCAGGCAGCTAGCTAAGCAGTTGCCCAGCAGACTTATAGCAAAAACTACATCCCGAACAGATGCTCAAGACATCCAGGATCACCTCACCCTATCGTCGTTATTTATTCTTTAAATATACAGTTTTACTCAGAGTCCCAATTAATCTGTACTTTCCTCCTGGTACTTAACATTTTCTATTGTCTTTTATAATGAATCTAGTGCCTGTCTTATTCTGTAAACTTCCTGCGAGGTGGAGTGAGGGTGGGAAGTAATGATGTGTATACAAACTAAATCTTACATCCTGGAACTCTGCATCTAAAGCACGTTGACAAGGTTTATCTTTGCATTCCATACTTGATATAACAAGGCAGAGATCAAAGAATCTATTATGGTAGGTGCTCTGTAAGTCTCTTAAGGTAATTAATACTTGTCTCCACCTAGATTACACTTGCACAAACAGAATGCACATTTCTACAGAATCCGATCATACTTCTTCAGTGGTGGTAGCTCAGTGATTTCATTTAAAAAGTACATAATAGATGCGCTGATTTATAGAACGACTGACACAGACATCTTCACCCAAATATCTGTATGGAAGCCTCTAGTCAGCCGTAAACAGTACTGTTAACACAGGGATCCTTCAGAGACAGGGAGAAAGCCTTGTCCATTGATGAGCCCGATTTTCCTACAGACCAACAGTCAATGCCCCACATTATGTTCATTATTCAATCGGTTATTCCTAACTTAACCATGTGATCTCTTTGGTTGCACGCTCCTTTTCATTTCTTGTCAGAGCCAGGGATCTTCAGTCTCTCTGGAGTACTTGTCTGTCATCCTAATAGTGTCTGAAGTGCCATTAGGCGCCTCTGCTGGTTAGGGTGACAAAAGAGAAGCTTCTGTGCCCTGCTGGTTATCATGACTTTCCACTGATTAGCAAGAAACTCCTCATAGATTCACCATCAAATCTTGGCTTCACTATCCTGTGTGCAGGTGTCTGCCTTTAAGGCAGTACTCGTCTGTATGGATAGGTTTCTACAATCTATGCATTGGCACCATTATCAAATTATATAACTGTGATGAGGGTAAACCTCCCAATATAGGAAAATATAACTTTAAGGAGAAGCAGGTTTAAGGAAATAAGAATAAATGTCGGGGCTTTAAAAAAAGAAACGAACAAACAAACTCATCCTCTACTGAAACACCAGGCAAAATCATCAACCCATGTAATAACACTTCCACCAAAAGCTGAGGTCCCATTATCACTGCCCTTATTGGTTTCTCTTTTAGAGACACCTGCAGCAGACCTATTTTCTGAGCCCTACAAAAGACAGTCAAGGCGTAATTTGTCTTTTCAGTGGACACAGATATAGCTGGGTAAGCCCCCTCAAATCTCATTACAGTGAAACACCACTGTTCCAGCCACGCTTGGAAAAATGGACTAATGTGAATCTCACCTCCACCCTTTGCAGGGGCTGACTGTAACCCGTAAACACGTCAAAAAGATGGCATAAAAAGCAAAGAAATGCAATCGATAGGCTAAAAAATGAACTGAATTACATTTGCTTACATGCTGCCTCTTTTTATACAGAAAAAATAATTGCTCAGTAGAGTTAATATTTTTTTGACAAAAGCTTCAACTATAAAGGTTATGGTATGACTTTAATTACTTGATTTGTGTTTTTAAATATGGTAAAATAATCATGAGAAAATAAATGTAGGAGTAAATTTAAGTCATGGGAGAAATGACAATTCCCTTAATTAAATGTTTTTTTTTTAAATATCGAAAACCAGATTCTTTAATTCTTCAAACAATTTGTCTTAACTAGCCCTAAGTCACTTTCTGAGCTACTTGCAGGTAAAAGACATGAGGAGAGCAAGTTCAATGACCTCATAAATTAGGGACTAAAAAACTGTAATGGTTTGATAGTCTGTATAGTCTCAGTGAAACTGCAGAAAAACACTGGTCTGGAAATTGTTTCTTTGGAAAATTACCATGAGGTAGGGGAACAGGAGGGAGAAAAATGGGGAGGGGAGATTGCAAAGTGGTAAAATACCTGATGGGAACCCACCAATGCAAAATACAACTCCTCTGCCCCGACTGTCACGCAAACAAACTTCTCTAAGCATCTTTAGATAAAAGGAAAAATAGTCGTTTTGCACAAGCATTAGCGGAATGTTCCAGAGTTGGGTAAATGGGGAAGACTTGTTATACACCTAGTGGTGGGTGCATTTCGCCAGGCTGCAGCCTCCACACAGCTTTTCTTTGCTGCACTGCAGAGGCGCCATCTTCTCCGTCTTAATCTTCACTCAATTCAATCCTTTTATCTGCACCCTAAAAAAAAGACTCGGAGGACCCTCCTCAACAGCCCGCGCCCCCAAGGGGTTCTACACCAGAGTGCCCAGTGCTGCCAAGGAGGAGGCCTCGCCCTAATCAGACAAACGCCTCCTTTGATGCACAGGAAAGGAGAGCTCGTGACTCCGCACACCCCGCTCTCCCTGTATTTCTCACTAAAGACTTAAAAGCCCCGCACAAAATTAGCAAGTCTCAGAGGTGATGGGGGGTGGGAAGCGGCCCCAGAGAGCCCCAGCCCCTTCGGGGACTGAGGAGCGGCACCAGGGTAGGGAGTCGGGCGACAGCCTCGGTGGCGCACAGACTAATGAGGCTCAGTCCACCGCGCCCCGGGCTGGCGAAGGCGGTCGCGGCTTTTGTTCCCGGGGACATTCTCCTTCTCCAGAAGCTGAAGGTGCAAGCGAACGCCCCGGACGTCCAGGCTTGGGGAAGGTGCCAGGTGGCCGTGGGTCTCCGACCCCTCCCATCTCCCGAACTTAACACAAAAGGGAGACGCAGAAATGTACAAAGTTTGCCTGCAGAAGGTGGTGCGCGACCCTGATAGGGGTCGCACTTAGGAGGCTGTCGTGAGTAGCCGCCAAGAGCAGAAGGCAGAGAAGATGGGGCAGGGACAGGGTGGTGGGGATGCAAAGGGAAGGTGAAACGGGGCGGAAAAGGCGAAGGGAAGTGGGGGGAGGGAGGCAGCTTTCCTAGCCGTCCCGACTCCTCCTCCACAGGGCCCGCGAGTAGGGGAAGGGCAGAGATTACGATTTGGGGACCGATACAGGGGCGCTGCATTTTCGGTTTTACTCCACGTGCTTCATCTGGATGTCTCTAGTCCCTACTCCAGGCACCAGCTCCGGGCCGGGAGGCAGGGACTGAGTCGGGATCTGTGCTCAGGATCGCCTCCTCTGCTCGCCCCAGAGTGGCGCGGACCTGGGAGTCCGGCGTCTCGCCCTCTCCCTCTCGTGTCCCCAGGACAGGGCTGGGCCGAAGGCAGGGATGCGCAGGGCTCCCGAAAGTGGGGCGTTGAGCGCGGAAGGGAGAAGGCTTTCTTCGACTGCCCCCCCAACCCTGCTTCTTTGGATTAAAGACTTGGGGAAGATCGGCTCCACACTGTGCCCCCTCCCCCCATTCCGAAGGGCGGCACCCACCTCCAGAGCCTGAACGGTCCAGGCGGCCAGCAGGGCCAGTGCCAAACCGGGCAGCATCGCGACCCTGCGCGGGGAACCTAGTGCGCTACTGTGCGAGTGAAGTCCGCCGCGCCCTTGCTCTGCCAGTGCTGCTGCCGCGGTCGCGGTCGCGGTCTCAGGTGGCCCCAGCGATCGCGCAGCTCCTGGTGCTCTCTCCCACCGCTGCCGAGGAAACTGACGGAGCCGGAGCGGGGCTGCAGGGCTTCCAGCCCCGGGAGTCAGCTGATCCCGCCCTACCCGCTCGGCACCCGAGAGAGACCCCTAGCGGAGGCGGCGGGGAGCTGCGCGCGCTCCGGCCGGGAGGAGCCCCCCGCCCGGGCGCCCACAGGTGCAGCGCCCCCAGCTCCTCCAGCACCCTGCGCGCTTCCACTGCCGCCGGCCACCTGGGCCCCTGGAGCAATGGGTGGGGGAGTGTGGGGCCAGGAGAGGGGCAGTGCTGGAGCTGGGGAAGGTGAGTCGTAGGACGTCTGGGCTCTAAAAAAAGTCGGGAGCGCTCCCTGCTCGTTCCCGTGAGCTTGACTCATCTGACCCCGCAGGCCTTTTCGGGGATGCCGTAGAAAGGGCTGTTGCTGGGGTGCGTTTTTATCCTCATTTCGACTTGTGTCTCAATTTGGCGAAGTGGAGGCGTTTTTGAAAGGGAATGGGGACGAGATGAGCTTAAAGGAAATGGAATGCGCTCTTCGCCGGTTGAGAAAGCAGACGCCTCATCCCCCCCTCCAAAAGCATACGAGCAACCTGGAATTTCTATCTTTAGAACGAGCCAAAGGAGAAAGGAGCCGGACCTAGTGAAGAAGCTGACGACCCATTTACTTACCCTTGAAAGAAAGGTTTAAAAATTTTTATTTGTTTAATTGTTAAAATTGGGGGGGGGGTCCTTAAGAGATGGGGCGGGTCAACAGGGATTTTTTTTTTCTTTTTCTTTTTAAGGTCAGGCGGGATGGAACAAACATCAGAGGTGGAGGGGAGTGAAAGTTAAAAGGGAAAGGGTCTGTAAAGATGATTCTTATTTGACCACGGTAACTAAGAACTTCTGACCTCCAACTCAGTCCTTTTTTGTTTGCCTCCAATCTCATTTATTACTCTATTTTCTCCATAGAATTTATTTCCTTGTTCTTTATTGTGTCTAGAATATTCTAGAATTATCCAGATGTAGTCCCGCCCCTTGACCTGAAGGAGCATCAGTCACTAAGCCTCGGTCTACAGTGGGGCTAGTGGGAGGGAAAGCGTGTGGTCTTGGCTCAGTCGGGGGGAGGGGGCTTCCTTCCTGAGAAGTCAGCGTTTGTCTGCTAGCTTCCCTGCAAGCTCTTTTCTTCCCCTCCCACCCCTGCCAACGCTGACCCTTGGGTTACTTTTTCCTGAGTGTCCTTTGAAAGTCTTCCCCAAATAATAAATATTTGTTAAAATGCAGTATTTATTTACATGCTTTATGTCATTTATAATACTTCCTACACAAGCCAATGAGGACCTTGCTATTATTATTCCCACTTATATAAGCCAGGAAACTGGAACTAAGGAACTCCCAAATCTAACAGTAAGCAAATGACATGAAGTTGGTACGGCAGGGAAAAACCTACGTGGCAGCAAAACCCTGTTGCTTCTCAAACACACTTACCCAGCACTCTGATTCCCTAAGTGTCCCGGGTTTGTATGAGCAATTGAAACCATCTGAATGCAAAGAGAAGTACGACTTGAAGATGGAGAGGGAGCAGGACCAGCCACAAATTTTGCGGGGTCTACTACAAAACGAAAAGGCAGGACCCCCTTCCTCCAACATTAAGAATTTTAAGTTGGTGACCCAGATTGCTAAACCAACCACGGGGCTCTTCGGAGCACAGGGCTCTGTGCTACTGACTACACAGATTGCAGGCCCACGAAGCCAGCTCTGGGAGGGAGGAAACAATTTTTAAGAGTAAGGGACTTTTATTGAGCACACAATTCACAGATATAGGGAGGTTAAAATCTATAAAAATAAAAGTTGTTAGATTTAGCAGTTTCCCTTTCCACTGTTGGATTTCACCACACTCTCACATTCCCTGGACAAGATGTGCTCACAGGGAAGCTGATTGGCGGCTGACTGTCAGAATGATGGGCCATCTTTACATTTTCTCTGGTTCCATGACCACTCAGAGATCTGATGACTTTTACTTCTCAGCCACTATCTCTGGTCTGCACTTAATGCCATTTCCTGCCCTGAGGAATCTTTCAGATTTCCCGGGAGGAAATAAATGAACATCCCGAGTTAGAACCCTGCGAAAGGGCCCACCACCAGTTGGCTGGATTGTTCCACAACATTCCCAACCTCCACCTGAATGCCTCAACTTCAGAGATGTCTGTTATCCCTTCAGGTAGGGCATTCTGTCTGTGGACTGTTCTGGTTTCTCTACAGTTGTCATCTCACTCCCTTTTCTTAACCCCCTGCCCCCAGAAGTGCTTGTACCCCTGCGACCAAGCAGATCAACCTTTTCCACACTGCACATCTTTCCCTATTTGCTAGCAGTTTTCACGCTGCTTCTGCCTGCCTCTGGAGTCCTCTCCTCACAAAGGAACACAGACACTTCCTTCATCCACTGTGCAGAGGGCATGGTTTCTGGTCCCTTTCAAGGCTCAGCCAAGGCCCCCGACTGTGTTCTGGTTCTGTTTACTGTACTCCACCCAGGGCTCTGGCCGCCGTGGCGCAGAGCAGTCTGTTGTCCATCTCCATGTGCAGCCTAACATCGCCATTCGATTTTGCCAACTCAGATTGGTCACACTCGCCATCAGTCTTCCCAGCTCTGTATTATGCACGGTGCTGGGAGCCCCAGCTCTGTTCTCTTATGTGTAGGATGTTATCTCTGCCGCACAAATGTCACCCTAAACCATCTCAACCTAAGCCGAAAGGGGAGCCCTGTGTTGGTTTGCTAGGACTGCCATAGCAAAGTACCACGGACCGGGGGCTTAAACGACAGAAGTTTATTGCCCAACAGTTCTGGAGGCTGGAGGTCTGAGGTCAAGGTGTCGGTGGGTTGGCTATTTCTGAGGCCTCTCTCCTGCACTTGCACATGGCCTTCTCCATGTCTTCACATGGTCTTCCCTCAGCGGGAGTGTGTGTCCTGATCTCTCCTGTAAGGGCACCAGTCATACTGGATTAAGGTCCAACCCAATGGCCTCACTTTAATGACCCCTTTAAAGACCCCGTCCCCAAGTAGAGTCATATTCTGAGGTATTGAGGATTAGGATATCAATGCATGAATTTCAACTTACGAATCTGGGAGAGGGGCATGCATCAGCAAACAACAAATCCTGATTTTGGGGCAGCTGGGAATTGCTCTGTGATCCTATCATTAATCTCTGACCTTGCTTACCAATGGCCAATGGTTCTTCCGCCATTTCAATTGGAAGAGCATTCATTTCATTAGGAAAAAAAATAGAAATTTGGGAACAGTTCTAGTTTCTCTGCATCAGGCATCAACCTTGCACTGCGATCCCCAGCAGCTAGTTTATCTCTTCCAGGATCGTCTGGCTCTGAACAGAAATAAAATGGCCTGTTACATTTTTCTCTAGAAAACTTTATCAAATATTAAACTCATGTTGACATTAAAAATTTGTACTAGTTTGCTAAAACCACTGTAACAAAATACCGCTGACAGGGTGGTTTAAACAACATACATTTATTTTCTCCCAGTTCCAGAAAGTAGAAGTCCAAGATTCAGGTGCTTCCAGGGTTGTATTTCTCTGAAGCCTCTCTCCTTGGCTTACAAGTGGCCACCCTCTTGCTGTGTCCTCACCTGGCTGGGCGACTGAGCACACTGGGCATCTCTCTGGATGCCCTGATCACTGATCACATTGGATTCAGGTCTACGCTGATGACCTCGTTTTAACTTAATGACCTCTTTAAAAGCCCTTTCCCCAAACACAGGCATGTTCTGAGATAACAGAAGGTAGGGTTCCCCATGTCAACCCAGGGGAGAACACAATTCAGTCCATAACAGAACCCTTAAATTTATTCTGACACTTTTAAGCTACTCTCCTATCCATCCTCCAGAGTGGGTTTTTTCCACCTTTTATTTATGCCCTTTTAAAACCAGAGTGCTTCCTAGGTCACCAGAGTGGTTCTTTTAATTGCCTCCTGGTTGAATGTTTGGATTACGAGGCTACTCCAGACTTCAAATAGTGCTGGGAATGATGGTACCTTCTACAGAGGTGCTCCCCGGCTGGGTGTTAGCTGTAATGGCAGACACTGTGGCTTATTTGAGAGTCGAATGTGCTTCTTAACCTGCCTTACCTTCCAGAACCTCATGCCGATTCCTCTCTGTGGACCACAAGTAGATCCTGAGGTACATTCTGTCTCACCTCTTTCTACCCTCTCCAAGATGCAAGGGTGTTATTCATTTCTTTCTCTTGACAGCAGCCTTCAGTATCTACGGAAGTCTTAAACTAAAGAGCAATCAAACGTTTCACAATAAAATCCTTTCTGCCAAGGATGGGTGCAGTTTTTTTTCACTTTAAGAATTAAAGTGAAAAATTAATTAAGAATTAATTTTTTTCTTTTTAATGAACAGACATGTTTTTAAATGAATGAATAAATAGCATTTAACACATCTACATTGAACTATCCATGCATTCCAGACTTGCGTGTAGACAGAGGATGCGACATTTTACTTTGCTTTTTTTCTTGTTGCTACTTCAGTCATGGGTCTTTACTTCAGTAGTGCACCCATGAGGTATTCATATGTTTTCAAACAATGCAGTACTTTTAAAATTTGTCTTTACTCTGCAATCACTGCACAAAGCTACTTCAGTGACAACCTTTAGATTCAAACAAGTGATAGTTTACAGATGGGCTTAGTGTATTTCGGTCGCAACTCTATGGGACATCAAAACTATATGTTTACACAAAGACCACTTTGGCGGCTGGTTTATAGAACTCATTTGAAGAATCATGATTCCAAGGTTGCCACAAGGACTAGTGTAAAAGAATATTCCTGTATTTTATGGAGTAAAAGGGAAGAAGGAGGGAGGAGAGAGAAACAGGACATTCATGCCAACCCCAGGGGCAGGAAGTGTGAAAATCAACCCAGAAGCAGGATTTGCTTCTTTAGAGAACCTCAGCTCTGGGCAGCAACATGCACTGGCGGGAAAGGTATTGAGCTTTGAGAAAGCTTCACCACTACGTGTCAGTTTTGGAGATAGTCATGGAACCCACCAGAGCATCTGTTTCCAAAATGTGCTCATCAGGTGGGTGATGGCAGGGTGGAAAGGCACCTAGCACAGGGCCCGGTGTGCAACAGAAGTCGCTCTTCTTGAGAGAGTAGTGATTCCACATAGCTGTCACTGAAATGACCCGGATAGTACTGACTGCAACCAGGGCTGCCATTTTGCACAGTGACTCACAACCCAGTGTTACTTAGGTGAGTCCATAAGTAATAAGTTGCTACTGAGAGTTCCAAATTTGCGAGTGTTTAAATTTTTTTTTTTTAGAATTTAATGAAAGGCTCAAAATTAGCCTTATATCAGGTTATGCATTTGTATCCCAATATGCTGCCTGGAGTGGGGGAGAAAGGGATGGAGTTTTAGAATTAGACAATCTGCTAAGAATTAGGCAGAAGTATGACCCCTTCCAAAAACACATACCCTGTGTGCAGGACACCCAGTGCTTGCAAAGGCTGCTTGCCAGAGGTGCCGAGCGGATTAGATGGGATCACCCACCTCCTGCAGAATGGCCACAGAGTGTGTCACCCCGGAGCAGGAAGTCACAGCTCTCCCCAGGAGTCGTGTGCTCTGGCGCCACTGCCACCACCCACTGATGACAAACATCAAGGCCGAGGGGCGTACACACCAAGGACACTGGACCTCATTATTGCCACACAAATCATACCTCAGGATTGTCCTTATTGTCCCTGTAAGGAGAGAGAAATTTCTATAGTGTTTGATGAGTGGCTCAACTTTCAAAATCCAAGTGAAGGCTGTAGCCAGAGAAGTGTTACCTAAACCGAAGACAAATAGGAAGGTTCCAGAGGGTAAGCCCTGAGTCCTCATGAACACATTTGGTAGATAAACAGCATCCTGAATGATAAACACACACACTGACCAACACATAAATAAAGACTTCATAGTCATTCGGTGGACAGCCTTTATCCTGAAGCAAACATCCAATTTTGCCATATTTCTTAATGAACATTTTTTTGTCTATGTGATTTCATTGCATTTGAAGGAAATATTAGTCATAGGAATGAAAGTGTTTAGTATTGGCAGATCAATCAAACCTTTTTGCACTTCCACGGACACATTTGCTCCCCTGGAAGTGTTTATGCAAGAAAAATATCTGGGAACAAGGCACGGTGAAAAACACGCTTCAGTAAGCACAATTCGGTATGAAGCATTTGTGTGTATATATGTAAATTTATCAAAAGAAAATTAGAGTTACAGAC